ACTGTATACCGCGATTTACTCGAGCCTATTAAAAAAAAGCAGATTTCATACTGTTTTTATTTTAGAATAAATTGTAAAAGACAGTGTTACACTCCGCACATCACTGAATAGAGGAAAATACGCAGTTTTTAAAAGTTCGTCTAAAAGTTCCATTCAATATGCCTGACAGCGGCGTTTTTTGTTTTTGTTTTTCTTAATAAGAAAATGATCAAGGCCACCGAAAAAGTTGTCTTGTGTGCTGCAGTTTGCAAAGTGTGAATCCGTCGACACTAAAAAGAAAGGGTTTATATCCCAGCTTTGCATGCCTGCTACTCTTCAAGAACTGAATGACTGAATTGTTGAAGCTCTGAAATAAATAACTAGACACCAGTGAAATCGTGGCTGGCAAAAAAAAAATATTACCGGTTTAATGTTCGCCGCGCTACAGACGGTGCTTTTGATAAGCGAAAAAAAAAAAAAAAGTCTGGGACCATAGAACTTTGAACCTTTTATGTGTTTCTGTAGTTTGCTTGAAATAATAATTAAAAAAGAAGTTTAAATCTGCTCTTTCCTTTTTTGAGTAGCCCTGCATGTTAGCTCCTGCCCTTTGCGATGGGGTTTAGTGGCCGCATGTGCGCTGGGCACACTGCACATCTGTATACAGCAGAAAGACATGTTAGCGAATTTTAGTGAGTGTCTAAATTCACGCTGTTTAATAATCCGCACATCCCTTTTTTTCAACAAACACTTTATGGCGGGAAGGCTCTCGTTGCCTTATCTGCTCCTTGGCTTCCTGTTGTTCGGCCAGGAAACGCGCCTACAAAACACCGTCCTCTGTAGATCGCAAAAGGTCCCTTATAATTTATGGTACGAATAAACTAGTTTTTTGTTTGTTCTTTTCTACTTTAATTTTTGAAGTGGTCAACGAGCTCAAGCTGACGCCCGGCCGTAGCCGCTTTAGTGCGACAAAAGACTCAGGGCCCGTTTACACACTTGCGACATTTTGGGACCGGAAAGGCTAAAAACCTCCGCAGCAGCGCAGCCGATTGTAAGCCGTCGCAAGAAGCTTAAAAACAGTTTTTTTTAAGTCGGTTGTAGTCAAACGCAAGTGTGTGAACGGACCTTGAAGTGTTCTAGAAATTACACCGTTACGACCAGTGGCGAAAAAGCGATCCTTCTTATTCCTTTTTTGACGTTTCCGAATTCGGCGAATGAACGCGGAGCCAGCTACGAACGCCGCCGCTTTCCCCTGTCAACCGAGGTACGGATGTATGACTCCTTGCGTTCTAGAGGCTGTGCACCCATGACGCTAACAATACTGCTACTAATAATTTTTATTGCATGTAAAGTACACATACAAAATCAAACCTGCCAAAGCCTCATTGGGATTGCCTGGCAGTCAGCCAAACGAAACACGTACACACCCACAAATAGAGTATACGTAAGTGAAAAACGAAACGACATCAAAACCGAAACCAAAGTCAACCAGGGTGGAAGGGAAACGTGAATGTTTGTTAGCGCTTTCTTCAGTTTATACTTTGTTATGGCAATAATAACACTCGATAGGAGTTTATTAAAGCATGCTGGGACATAGTACAATCGGGTTCTTTTACGATATCTTGTGAAACACCGAGGTGTCCAATAACGAACGCTCTTTCGGTCTAAGATTACGGGCACGGAGGTACGGAGTCTTAAGCTGCTAGCCCAAAAATGTCTGCACGGCAGTTTCGATCCACAATGAGTTAAAATCTGGCATAGATAAAGTCGCGAACACACCAATGTCTTTATCAAGGCCTAAGTCATAGGAAATGTTAGTTCACATAGAACGTAGAATTTTGTTAATTCTGGTTTGCCAACGTTGGGCACAATGACCGTACACAGATATGCCGTAACGGAGTACACTGTAGCCTAGAGCATGTATAATAAATTTTCGAGTTGACAACGGCATGTATAGTATCGAATTTTGTGAAGCAAACAAGACACTGAACGAATCTTCTTACAAATATTAGCAAGATGGGAGTTCCAGGAAAGATCGTCGTCGAAAAAATACCAAGATACTTCACAGTTGATGCATATTTTACCGGTTCACAAGCACACGATAAACAATTGGACGCATATAGCAATAAAGGGTAGGTGGGCCTAACGTTTTTCAAGGGGTTATGAAAACAAATGAGCTGCGTTTTCGAAGTATTAACAATAATTAAATTAGCTGCAAACCAGTCCATAATTTTAATCGCAGCAGCTTGCAGAGAAGAGATTGCGTCTAAATAATTGGTAGCTCTGGATAAAATAACCGTATCGTCAGCATATTGAAAAAACGAAACTGGCACAGCGTTGTGGAGGTCATTAGCATAAATATTCAACAATAATGGGCTCAAAACGGATCCCTGCGGTACACCAGCTTTGATTGACGAAAATGGGCTCTGAAAATGCCCAATCGAAACACACTGTCGTCGATCGCTTAGGTAGTTTTCAAGGAGTACTAAAAACGAGCCACGAGATTCTAATTTTGAAAGTTTCATTAGCAAAAGTCGATGTCATACGCTGTCAAATGCTCTGCTGACGTCCAAAAACAGTGCGCAGGCAACCTGATTCCGTTCAAAAGATGAATTCGGTGTATCAGAAAAATCCTCTAGAAGCGTCTGTACCCCCCACCTTAAATGAACCCATACTGATGAGGTGAACAAGGTTAGACCATAGCGATCACACAGTCATGAAATAGACCAACCGCAAATTGTATGAAAATCTTCCTACGGGAAAGGTGTCCCGCACCATTTTTGAGAAACGAAAGTACACCGTGTCTCCCTTTCCCCCCCCCCCCCCCCTCAATTTTGTTTTTTAACCGCAAAAATAATTTGCGTATTACCAGACGGTCGTTCTCCGTCCAAACGTAGCGCTATCGGTTCGAACCAGTACGCCAAAGTTTCAAAACTAACGGTTATTTCATTCGGAAGTTTTAAGGGATCTGAAAATTTCGACGGGAAAGTGGGGCCCGTTTTCGACCGTTTTCAGTAACTGACGCCATTCAGCTCCATGTATTCGAGAGCTCCGTCGACCACCATTTTCCCATGGAAATTTTAGAAAATCACTTATAATTTTGGAATGAGATAACGCTTAGTTCTGAAACTTTGCCATTCCTGCTTCGGACCGCCGGCGTTACAGATTTGAGGGGAGAATGAGCGTTCGGTAATGTGTAAATTATTTTCGCAATATTTTTTTTTAATGGGGGGTTGGGGGGGGGGGGGGGGGGCATTGTGTATTTGCCGTTTGTTCGTACTCCTGCGGACGATATGAGCTGAAAACCCAATCCGGCCTTTTTCCTTGTCTGCGGTCCCCACAAACTTTATTATCTTTCGATTTGTCGAATAGTCCGAAGTATGGGACCACAACTTTACATTCCATTCCTAAATTAAACCACAACTCTTAAAAAAAAAAAAAAAAAAAAAAAAAAAAAAAAAACGGGCAGGTACGCCAAAGAAAAATGACTCAGTTCATAATTTCCGCGATAGTACACTGCGCACCTACTGTTAGCGCGAACACGACTTCAGTGGTTTTTCGCATACTTCATAAGGATACTGGCGGGCATAAATATAGAACGGTTAGTATTTTAAATGAGTACTTTCCACCCTTATAGTACTTTTGATGGCAGTCCTTTAAACACTGAAAGAAAAACAAAAACAGCGATCGGGTTGTTCGTGCTAACAGCGTCCTGGAGTGTACATCACTAATGTGGTTTCGCTGAGAGCATTTGATACGTCACTAAAATAAAAATCTACGGACGCCTCACTAAAAAAAAAAGAAAACAGTATGAAAACAATATATATATATATATATCAGTGTGTCGAACCGAAAAAAATACGGGTTCGGTTACGGTTCAGGTTCAGGTAAATTTATTTTGTTCCGGTTCAGTTCCGGTTCGATTAATTCAATCCGCGAAACCGGTTCGCGAACCGGGTCCGGGCGCTGAACCGGTTCGCGAACCGGTTCGGCAATTATAAATGACAAATTGCAACATCAAAATAAATTACAAATGAAACATCTGAAATCAGCACATACGAAACGGGATACATCGAGTTTCCGGTACGAAAAAATACGGCATGTAAATCTTGACATTTCATAGCTCGATATACTCTGACCGGTGGTTGGGGCAGCGAAGAGCAGATATAATTCATGAATGCTCATTTCAACTGTAAATAAAATTTCTTTCTCTCCCTCAAACATTATCAAACTCCACAGCCTTTTCTTTTCTCATTCCGATGGAAGCAAGCTTCAAGAACTCGCGCGTTCTAGAAACGTGTTATGAAATGAGCACACAGCAGCATTTAGGATTTACGAGATTGTAGGAAAATGAAATCCCGTGACGCGATTTTTTTTTTTTTTTTGCACAGCTTTCCAATTTTTTTTTTTTTTTTTTTTGTGCAAGCCGCGACCAGCGCAATACTGGTTCCTATGTCAAGATTCATGGATGCAGCGTTTGTCAAGATTCATGAATGCAGCGTTTATATTCCTAAGACTGAGTGCAGAAGGAAAATATGTAAGCGAGGGGTGTGTCAGTTGACGGCACTTAAAAAACAAATGGCATTGATAGCACATTCATTGTCAACAGCGCGTGGCCGAACCGTTTTGACATGAGCCGGTAACCGTTATTTTTTTTCCGGTTCAGTTCCGGGTCGGATCATCGCGATAACAATATAACGGTTTGGGTTCGGGTTCAGTTCCGGAAAAAATACCGGTTCGGTTCCGGTTTTCGGTTCGGTTCGGTTCCGGTTCGACACCCTGATATATATATATATATATATTAGTTCCGAATTTGTGCAATTTTCGGTTAGTTTTTTTGCGCATGCCTAGTAGCCTCTTACTCGTGAGTTTTTGGACAAACACTCTCCGTTTGCCATATTCGTGTTGAGCGCAATGAGTATCAACGTTAGTGAGCATAGAGCAAGTGGATACAGGTTGGTCGAACTCGGTGGGCATGCTGCCGTCGGCCCTAACCCGGCCCCGTCTCGTGCCCCGTGCCGCAGGTGAAGCAGATCATGGAGGAAGCAGTGACGAGGAAGTTCGTCCACGAGGAGAGCAGTACCATCACGTCCCTGTGTGGTGAGCGCCTCCGCCTGCACTGTCGTCACACCGGCTGCCATTGTGGCGGCCTCGCTGCTCAGCGAGATGCCGAGCCACTGAAGCAGGCATTGACGAGCCTCCACAAAGGCCTGGGGAGAAGGACGCAGTTGCACCTAAAGTGGCCATAACCTGTCCTGCTGGGGTAATGATGAAGTGAAGCGAACGGAATAAGGGGAAACAAAAATGGAAGGCCGGTTATGGCGGCACCGATGCACAGCTGCCTGAAAGCGTGTCTACCTTTGGCAGCAGGCATTTCGCACCACCAGATCTGTTTTGTTTTCTTCTTTTCTCGACAAGAACGAGTAGGAATGACCGCCAACATGGTACGATGACGCCACATCCGAGCAATGTACTCTTCGAAACTCGAAGCCACGTGCGTTGCGATCCGTCACTAGGGAGTTTTAGTAGACCGTGTTTCCCCCTCCGCTACGAAGTAACCGCCACTGCGCCTGCGTGCCGATGGCCTTGGCTGTAGAGTTCTGGGTAGCGGAGGGGCTTGGCGGTGGGGTAAACACGGTGTACTAAAACTCGCTACTGTTTCCCGCTCCAGCTGCTATGCTCTTTTACGATGTATCGCAGCGCACACTATAGAGCCATCCCAACCAATCAAACGATGTGAACCTGTCACGTGACTGCGGACGTCGCTGCATCCCTTCCTAAAGTCACGTGACACTAAGACGGCATTGGATTAGCTTGGATTGTTTCTAGGGTTCTCTGCCGTTTGTTGTGAGGTGAGGTAGAGGTGTCGTTTTGAGTTTGCGAATAAAAATTATTGTTAATAAATTGTTAATCGTTTAAACTCTTGTCGCACAAGGTCACGCGCACGTCTGCAAAGGCGGTTGTAAACTAAAACTAACAAATCACTATTTTTTTTCAATACCGATTTTTTTTATTGCTGTGGAATAGTTTGTTAGACGGTATCTTGTTTGTATTGCCAGGTTATACCATGTTACGTGCTGTACACTAATAAACGTAACGGATCGAAACAGATACGATAGAACAAAATTGGTGTATGTGATCATGCTAAAACCTTTCCTATATTGAGATACATTTCAAAATAAACCAGAAAATATTTTTATACCAGTTGAACTTTTCTGCGAAATTCCGACTCCTTGAATTGTGCCTCTCAAAGAGCACTTCGATCGACTAGGACGTTTTTATGCCTCTTTTTATGTCGTTGAATGTCGTCAATGGTTTCGTGTAACGAAGGGCTTCTCTTTTGGGTCAGTTGACAATCCCCCAAGAGGGAAGGCAGCCGTCTCGTGTATGTGTGCGGCTTCCACCGTAAAGCGAGCGAACAATGCTTGCAAGAGTCTAAACGACAAATATAATTTATTTCACGTTTCGTAACTACGGACAGCACGCAATGGCATAAGTGTCGCTTGAAACCTGCGTGCTAGATTCCTCACTCTCGTTCTAAATGTAGAAAAGAAAAAAAAATGCAGCAGTATTTAGATTTATTGTTCAAACCGCCATACGTAGAATTGGGGTTTAATGAATAATTAATGCAGCCGACGCTCATGTCCTGGCCCGGCCTATTTAAACGCGCCGCTGTGTCTTTTCAAAGCGGCGCCGCGTCCCTTTTTCCGACACTTTTTTTTTTTTTTCTTGCTTCGAAAGTCGTTTGGCAGCTGGTCATCTTTTCGAAGCGTCGCCTCGTCCTAGTTTCTTGTCTCTTCTTTCTCGTTATCGTTGTTTCCGAAAACTTTTGTCACCTGCAGTCAACTCTGGTACCTGCCACTGTGCCACGCGACGCGCCTTTCGGACGCTGATAAAATCTGAGCTATAGTCGGGGGAAAAAGAACGTGGGGGAAAAGGAAATGGACGCAACGCTTGCGAGGGGAGGAGGAAACCCTCGCCAACGTTGCGTCCGCTTCCTCCTCTCCCACCTTCCTTTCCCTCGGCCTACCTTCTTAACCTGCAACATGCTATAGTAATTGTGTCGTGTGTATGTTTAAGGCCGGTTCACACATACAGTGCAACGCTACAAGTCAGCACATAGAACAGCACTTATACAGCGCCGACTTAGCTTAGTACTCATGCAGCACCGTATCAGCGCCGTATCACTAATATACCGCAAAGTAAGCTCTATTTTCAGCGCTGTCCAATAGCGCTAAGTATGTTGTATGTGTGAACATTCCTTTAGAGAGCGGAAGGTTAGGCAACCCCATGCACTGGGCTTCCGGAAGAGTGCAATTCTGCATTAACAAACAATAAAAGATTCCTTTTGAACCGAAACCACTGAACGTTACCAAGACTGTCGCAGTGACATGAGACGAACCGACCGAGTTGGGTGTCCCTCGCAGCCGCGGTGGACGCGTGCCTGTCTCACGGCCTCAAGCGTCGCGCCCTGGGGCTCTTCAAGACCAACTCGACGACGGCGCTGCTGCACAAGATGGCCAAGAACTTCGAGCCGGCCGCCGCCATCGCTCGGATGGTGACCGACCTGGAAAGTGCCGCGGAGTCCTCCACCATCACGTGAGCTACCCTTGATGTTTAAAACCCGAGACTGTGGTGAATGAAAATATAAGGATCTTTGACGTCGAAGAAAAGGCCACAGCAGAGGACGTCTCAAACGCATCTAAATTGTTAATTCTCTCTCGCTCCTTGTAGACACCAAGAACGCCTCTCCCGAACATAACCTCGTTAACAATGCTTCGATTTGATTCTTATATACATATGAATCAGTCAAAGAATGACCCATGGCTCACGTCGTGCGTCACGTGTGCGGCACTTCGGAACTCTCCGAGCATGCGCACGGTGTCATGCGATTATCTCGAATCGTTGGTCTTCCTCTGGGGCCCTAAACTCGTCAAGCCGAAAGTGGCGGAAGTTGACGGAGCGCACCGATTGGACAATCACGACGATGACTTGGCGCTTTTGTCGCCGACGTCCAATCGGCTTTGTGTTTGACGATTTTAGGGCTCCAGGCCAGAAGGTTCAGCGGAAACGCGCTCCAATGGTCCACCGGTCTCGGTGACACGAAGGCTTCCACGGTTCCATTCCTTGGGTGGGACCGCACCGCCAATGAAGGGACCGCTCGCCCATCTTGCTTGGCCAAGCCGGTTTGAAGTAAGACGGATGATTGGTCATCCGTGTGTAATCCTGGGCCAGCGTGTAAGCGAGGAAGTTCCTAGAGTGCATAGTGAGTGTTCCAGCTCGTCGCCAGCATCTAACAACACGACAAGTCTTTTGAGCATTTTTGTTTGTGCGCCAGAAGATGGCATTGTCTGCTAGCTATTCCATAAGTAAGATGGATGTGCGATCACTGAGCCATGGTCTTGAGCATCGGTTTGATTAATTGCACGACACGTTTAGCGCGAACATGACATCGGCGCTTTTTCGCGTTCGACTGAAGGTGAACAACACATTCTTTTACACATTATACTTTGAAGGTGAACAACACATTCTGTACTGCCCATGTTGTACCCCCATGGGCACATTCCACGACAGTAGGAGTTTTTGACAGTCTAATGCATGTGAAAAAAAAACGAAAAAAAAAAACAAAAACACGTGAGAGCGCTTGTCCGTATTAAGTGTCTCGCTGCAGATGAGGCAGTACGCAAAGCCATGCATTGGAGAAAGTGTGGGTACGGCTTCTTAAAATGCTGAATTGCAATTTTTGGTGTTCATCCTTCCTCGGACGGAGCTCAGACCTTAGATGTAGAACGGCCATTTTGTTTTCCGGTGTTGCTCATCTGGCGATCAACTCGCAATCTCGAAGGCCTTTGAACTTTCCATAAAACGGGTGTATAAGTTGACAAGTGCGAGTGGAGCGAGCACAACGCTTTGAGAGCGGGCGCGCTCGCTGTATCGGTTTCGTTCACACTTTGCACTGACTTATACACGCAAACGATACGCTAAGCATACTCTCAGACAAGTTAAAGCTGGTCTTACAAGTAGCGACATATGCGCTACTTGAACTTCTGGGCGAGGCATGTGCCCATTGGAAGCAAATGGCAAATGGCGTCGCAGTGCTACGGAGTAATAGTAGTGAAAAACTAAAATGGTATGTCCTTGAAAGCAAGTGGTGGCGCAGCACTCGCTCATGGCATTAAGAGTGAAATGCATGCGAGCAAAAGTCGCGTCGCGTCGCGCTGCTGAGTTTCGTAACCATAACAACCGTCGTTGACGGTGTGACGTAACGGCGCGGCATTGGGCCATATGTCACGGCGCGACGCAGCGCGATTTTCGCTCACACGTGTTTCATGCTTGACGCGTTCGCACTACAATGGTTGTGAGTACCTGTTACGTCCGAGACAAGCCTCGTGCACGTGCAGGATGTGCATGAAGGTATCATTGACAGGCTTGCAAACATTCGCGCTTACTTCACGAGTATACCGAAAGACTGCAAGCCTGCCGAAGGTGCCTTCGCGTGTGTGCCGAACGACGAGGCAGAGGGCCTTAGAGCGAGAAACTGGCAACTGAAAGTGACGCCGATTGGCCGCCGCCATGTTGCACATTTTTGACCACTAGACATGTGGCCTTATAGTTTTACATCTAGATTTTAACGAAGTACCGCGCACAAATAATTGCTTCTTGATCTTTATTAAAAGTTCTTGCAAAATAAGTTACGTTTCGTTTGTTTGAAGTCCAAAAATGTGCTTTTACAACAAAAACTCGGACAGCTTCGCAATGCCTCCGCTAGATGCCGTCAGTCGCGGTGCTGTATTTTTCTTTTTTTTTTTTTTTTTTTTATTGGAGCTAGACACTGATCTCTGGGGCTAACAGTATTGAAAAAAAAATAGTTTATCATGTCTTTTACATGATCGCGATACAAATCTCGGCTCAGTTTTGCGCAAAAGCCTCAGTATTTGGTACGGTCATGTGTCTAGTAGTCAAAATTGTACAACATGGCGGCAGCCAAGTGATGATCATTTTTGCCTGGTGAACGGTATACCAGTTTATCGCTCTAGGCCCTTCTACCTCTTTGGTACCGCACCTGCACGAGGCTTGTCGATGTTGGTTGTATTCTGTTTGACACTCCAGTGGGATTCGAGCAAAAAAACGTGCATCGTGATTCTTTTTTTTTTTTTATGCGTTATTATGAGAACGCTCGTTTTGATGAAAACCCAGCGGTGTGTTTTGTTTGTCACTTGTCGTCTGGGTCGCTCCCATTAGTCCGAAGCGCTGACTTGAGCACACGTCAACCTCTCCCTGTCTTCCCGGTGCTGACAAACTGACAGACACCGCCGGGTTTTCGTTAAAACGAGTCCTTTCGTTTTCGGCAAGGTCACGCGCATAGCCTACACGAAGCCAGAGAAGAGAAGGCGCAGCACAACACCTCCTAGATAACAAAGCCGTAGTGCTTTGTTCATCAGAGAAAGCCAACGCTGGACAAAGATTGGAAACGAGTGATGCGTCAGCATTCGGCTTCGAGTAAAGTTTCAGCCGAACGTTGACGCAATCGTCGTGTCCATCCTGTGCCCAGAGTTGCCCTTCTAAAATGACGCCATCCCATTCAGCACTACGACTTTGTTACCTAGGAGGCGTTGCGGCGTGATGGAATGCGGGCGTGCTCAGTTGCCGCTCTGCCGTCGCCGGTTGTTCTTCGCTTTGGGTTTGCGTAGTAGCGATGCGTGGGCTGTAATGTCTGTAATGTGTGTGCGTAGTTAAAACAATGGATGTGGTTCACTCCGCGAGTTTTATGGATGCGGTTCCGTCCACGAGTGGTATGGATGTGGTTCTTTTCACGAGTGATATGGAGGACCGTATCCAAGGGCGTCGACGTTCTCTGACAGGCAGAGTACAAAAAAGAGGTGAAAAAAATTAGGAAAAGAATTATTGGTGGATTCTTGGGGAATCCGTTAGCATGGCCCTTGGTAAATGCTACACACATCCCCCTTTGGGAAACGCTAACACCGACCCGTAGCGAGGCCAAAAAGAGGCAACAATAAATAAAGAAAACAAAAGAGAAACCCCCCCCCCCCAAAAAAAAAAAAAAGTGAAGGGGTCAGCATTAGCTTTTCCCAAAGGTGTGTGGCGTTTCCAAGGGTCATGCTAGCGCATTCCCGAAGAATCCACGAATGAATTTTTCTGTAATTTTTTAAAGTAGTTTTAACATCAGTGGCCTTTATAACGTCGTGCATGAAGTATGCAACGTGCGCAGTGGTGCTTCTTGTAAGCATATTTCGTCGCGCTGCAGGGAGAGCGGTGGCAGCCGTCTGCGCAGCCAGACCCGGAAGCAGCCGTCGGCGGCGGCGTGGTCCGCAAGCGGGCGCTACCTGTGGATCCGGCTGGCGCTCTTCGAGAAGCTGCTGGCCACCATCGTCGACCACCTGGTGCACCAGAGCAGGTGAATAATTAACTCTTTTGCGAAAGTGTGCGTCATCTATACACCAACACCCCTTGTTACGAACAAGATTAGACCGATACTCAAAATTAGTAAAAAAGCGGCTTTGCTCTCTCTCCCGCCCGTGGTTTCGACAGCAGTGGCAACTAAAGTCCCTTGATATTTGTTTTACAGGTAACGATAACCAATACAAATGACAAAGCACACTTCGCTGTAACAAATTAATTGTAACAAGCATTGGACACGTGGACTTAGTCTGCCTTCGGCGCGAACTCGGATAAGCTCGTATCAGAAACCAAACGCTGCGTCAGACTTCGGTGAGGACTCGGGTCGAATCACACGCCTCGTTCCCAGAATGGATGGATGGATGGTCACCATCCATCCATCCTGGGTCACCTAGCGTAAGCAATGGCGACCCCCAATGTTGCATGACGGTGTTTTGAAAAGGATCTACGCGGAGGAAAGCAACGCGCGATCACTGTTAGCGATAACGATCTCGGCGACTTCTTGAAATTTACTTCGAATGGGTACTGACGGGTACTAAATTTTACCTCTAGGGAAGTACTCTGAACAATCGTTTTACACCACACTAGTGGTTTTAGTTTGAACCTTTCAGTTCTAAGAAAATGAAAAAAAAAAAAAAAAAAACGGCAATCATTTGTAATTTAAATAAATTACATTTTCAAAGTAATTTATCCAACTATGTCCGCAAACAACCCTTCGATCCGTTCTGTGGACTGCACCGAGGGTAGAGAAACACCAATTGCAAATAGAAGGGAAAAAAAAAGAAATAAAATCGCCGAGGTGCGTTGATTTTTTCCTGTTTGCCGAAGAAACCGCTAATAGTAGCAGGAACAACACTCTAGTTCCATAAAATATTTGCACTAAAACAAGGACGCGGTCAACCTGCTTTTAGAGTACACCTTTTTTTTGCCTCATTTTGGAGATTTGCGTTGTCTCGTCCGTTCTGTCCCCCCACCCCCCAGGATTACAATGTATCGATGGTGGAAGCCCGGTTTTACTTGGCTTTTAAATCGTCCGCGTGGCGTAGGTTTGCAACCGTGCGACGTTTTAAATCGGGATTTTTTTTTCCTCTCTTCGCGCAGCAAGTACTACGACAAGGACGCCCTGGTCGCAGACCCGGTCTCCGGTCAGATCCTGGCCTCTCTACTCGGTGAGAACGCGCCCAGTCGGATAGCATCCGACAGGGCGGCCTGCCTCGGCCGCATCTGGAGTGGCGCATTCAACCTTGCCCTCTCTTTCTCTTCCTGCTTAACTGTTTGTGACGAGTGATACTATAATCCGTTTCACTTTAAGCCCCATCGCATCCTATACGCTACGATCCGACGAAGCCAATCAATTTTGCGAGGCAGTTTTTCTTATAACGATACCACATATAACGGTGTACCGGTTCTAACAACCCGTTGCCAGAAGACCGTGCGTTTTTTTGTTTTTTTTTTTCGCGTGGGGTATCTGGTTCGACGATACAACGATGACCGGTAAGAGCACTTGCATTATCGGGTCTTTTCATTAGCGTTATAAATGGATTGCACTGTAGTGGCAAAAGTGCATCGCCATGGCACTCGTCGCCTTGGTGCGTTCGCCTATCACCGACTAAACCAATCACGCACGGTGAATGAGCTGCGATCCGCGCTTTTTTCCCCCGAAATACTTTTTTTTTATAGCTTTAAAAATTCCTCTGTAGCCTTCCAGTCACGCTATCTTTCTCTCTCTCTCTCTCTCTCTCTCTCTCTCTCTCTCTATATATATATATATATATATATATATATATATATATATATATATATATATATATATATATATATATATAAACTCAGAGATCCGTACTTGCGGAGTTGCTATGCTAGGAGTTTATTCTATGTATTACGACAGTTTCGCCGAGAGGCTCGGCTTCGTCAGGAGATGGCCATACATGTATGCCATCTCCCGACAAATATACCAGACAAGCGTTGTCTGGTGTATTTATTTATTTATTTATTTATTTATTTAATTTACTCTCGGGGCCTAAGGCATTAAAGAAAGGAGTGAGGACAACCTATTTTTGATAAAGTAACAAAGCTCAGTTGTCATTAAAGGACCTTGGCAACGATATTCAATTGGAATGTTTTTCACTTGACACGAGCTTACTGGCACACCTGGGACTCAAGGATACTCACACGCAACGCCACTGGCCAAGAAACTCCTTTGTTGCGGTGTAATTTCAAGAACAAAAGCCATCATTTTCATCCAATCTCTCCTTTGCAAAATTTGATGACGTAACGTGGAGATCGCAGTACACCCAAGTGACGATATTTGAATGCGGTTCATAGATTGGACCCGAGCATTGCGTGGGCACTCGACTTGGGCTCGTGATAATTGCTAGCTCGAGAAGCATTCGGGTAGTGACCCGTGTCCAATCGCTGCAACGACGACAACAGCCGAGCCATAACAATGTCTGGAACTCAGCGTGTGTCCTGCGCTTTGCCAACTTGAGCGCGTGGCTATGATCAACACTGACGGCATATAATCGGCTCCGGATCACGTGGCCGCTTGTTCTGGCTGCGAGTTGAGGGGGTGAACGCTGCTCGTTTTTCTTTATTTATTTTTCTGGGACTTCTATTGCGTGGGGTGAAAAACGAACGCGTGTTTCATAGGTCATTAACGTTAGGGATCCGTTTTAAGCGGTATTTGCGCAAAGTACAAAAATTGTTGCATCGCTCCTTTAATACTGTAAAGTGACCTCTATTTACATTATATATTACTAAGTAGCTATGGCATTCTTGAAATGTTGGTGATATTCAAGTGTTGCTGCTGGAGCGGGCAAGCGATTACACTCTTTTAATGTTCGAGGATAAAATGAATAAAATAAAAATAAAAAAAAAAACCATTAGTACAACACGATGGAATCTCGATTCCTTGTGAACATGATATAATCGAGATGAACCATACTGGGGGCGGCGGCGGGGGCGCAGGGAAGGGTGGTGAAGCTACTTGCGAAAGAAGCAAAGATTAGAGGTTTTACGGCCAGATTCTAGGGATGGCAGGTCCCAAAGTTAGATTTCACATTGTACCGACGCTCGTTGAAGCGACGTCACGACTTATAGAATCTAGCGCTTCTTTCGCTTCCTAATATCCTCACATAAATACTTACGTTTTACAGCGATAGCTGTTATGGGCTCTTCCCACCCCTGGAAGTGACGTCCGTTGTAGTTGTTGATGTTGTGGCTGGCGATGTAGGGCGTCCGTCGCCGATGTTGCAAAATCATGGAAAAAAATCGCCCCGCCGCTCATCGAAATCGAACCTGGGTCCGCTGAGTACGAAGCGGATACGTTTTATTTATTTATTTACATTACCCTCAGCCATGCGGCGTTAGAGAGGGGAGTGGGTGTTGAACCACAGTGTTGGAAATAGCTTCACGAAATCTGATGCCGTACTCGATGGAAGCGATGTTTTCGGCAAGGTCGTTCGAGTCCACAATTCGGCCGGGGACAAGAGCATTTTGATGTGTTGTGGAAAGACATCGCGGCTGGGCTTTTTGTTACAATGATCTAGTCTTGCCGAAGATTAGTTTGGTGGAGAGAGAAAACGCTGATTTAGCACTGGCGAAAAAAAAAAAGAAAAAAACTTTGTGCAGAGGGCAGGCGCAGAAGTTTTTTTTTTTCGCCGGGTTGAAAGTAGTGGAAGAGAAAGGTTTGACTTCCTTAGGGAAACACTGGCAAAACGTTGATAATCAGGCTGAATGAATCGGGCAGCACAACTTTGAGCTGGCTTAATAGTGTCCGTTAATGTAGAAAAGTGAGGGTGCCAGATTGAAGATGCGTATCGTAATTTATATCGGACCAAAGAAATGTAAAGCAGCCGTTTTAAGTTAGAAGGGGTGGATCTGAAGTTACGACGGAGGTAACACGAGCTTCGATTGGCAGAACACTCTACTGAAGGAACATGATTACCCCAAGAGAGGTTAGTAAGTAGGAGAACACCGAGCTATTTAAATATGTCACTTTGTTCTAGAGGAACACTATACGAGGAGAGGAGACTTGAAAGGAGAAACGAGAGAAGCGCAATCATTTACTTTTTTTAACACTGAGGGACATTTGCCAAATATTAAACCAGCTAATAATGGAGTCAAGATCATTTTGTAGCGCCATGGAATCGTAGCAGGATGTTATTTTTTACGAGAAACGACACAGTCGTCTCCGAATAAGCACATTGACCAAGTTACCCGAAATTACAAAACGGTGAGTTAGGATAGTTGGTTCATTACGTACAATTTAAGCGCCAAAAAAACAAGGACAGAGTGAAGAACGAAGTACCTGATGTAACCGGAAGCGTTACCACTAAACTACGCCACGGTATTTTTTTTTTTTTTTTTTTTGCTTGCACGGATTTGAACATAACCTCCTCTATACTCACAAAGCCTGGCAGTTCGACGACGGAGCCGTAAAGTGCCCTGTCGCAGATTTGGAGCGCGAGGACCTGGTAGCACAGAGCACCAGAGAGCCATTTCTCGGGGAACCTGAAAGCCAGCGCACAGCTTTTGCAGCGGCGAGGGCCCGAAACGCACTTGTTCGCTTGGAAGAAGTGTGTTTCGGCATCTCGCCGCAGCGGGGCGCCAGTCACGTGGCTCTCCTCTCATCTGTTTTCTGCCACTCCCCCTTGTCCATTTAGGCGGCCGCTTCTCGTGGCGATGTGCCAGGCTTTTTCAGTATATAGGAGGCTGTGATTTGAGTTACGGCGCAACGTTAATCACGAGCTCTATACTTTGGGGCTTTTTTAGAACCCGATGCCCACTGTACGCGCCCTCTGGTGAAACAAAACAAAAATGGCCGATAACAAAATGCTGTTGTAGCACTGCCAATTTCAAGAGCTCGTGCCGGGAGACGCGTGTTCACACGTTCCAGAAAAAAAAAAAAAAAAAAAGAAACAAAAGTTTCGAAATGGTTCAGAACAAAATGGTCAGATGTCTATTTTGTGCCGAACTCTTTTGTTCACGCACACCACGGTGCATGAACGTGACGCCAATGCCCAATGACTTTGCCGTGACGTGTCGCAGATATCACTGTGACTGTATACATGATGCGAGCCCCGCTACTTTATGGTGGACCACTAGTGACAAACAGCTCTCGATCCGCTGCTATCGGACACTGACACTGCAGTTTAAACCACGCGACTGCGGCTTGTACTGGAGGACGTAAGGGCGCGAGTGAACTGGTGTGCTGAACATATTGAAGCGTTCTCTTTCCCTTCTTTTGGGGTCTTTTTCGGGTTGCCTCAAAATGTTCTACTGCGCGCTGTGCTATCGACGCGGCTGGAAGTCAACACACTTACGCTCACCAGATTCGAGTTGGTCGTGGCAACAGGAGATAAGATGCGGGGCAACCGTTAACGCGAAAGCTATCTTGCCGCTTCGACCGCGGAAGTGATTCGGAAGTGATTCATTAGGCGCGTTAAAAGAGCAACGCCCGAGCAGTGCCGTTTCTCTCCAGAGGGTTTCAGTAGACCGTACCCTGCGGATTGCGCGCTTAGCGGGCGCGTGCTCAGTCGATGGCTCAGAGTGAGGGCACGAGCTCCCGCTAGCAGCGCAAAACTCTATAGCGTACGATCTGCTAGAGGTCTCGCTTATCTCACGGGCACCGACTGTAGGTTGCACCGCATGAGAGCTACAATAACGAGCTCCCATTCTTTCATCGTCCCTGCCAAGCTTCTTGCGTAGTGCGAGCGTCGTTCAGGATAACCTGTCTGAGCTTGTAGCTTCGACTTCGCTCGCGTGTTAAGTGAAGCAAACCACAGCTTCGAAGACGCGAACCTGAAGTTGCTCTTGCTCGGTCGCTTCGTTGCAAAACCGAGTTCCGGGATCTCGGCTTTGCCGCCGAGTCTACCACGGTCGGGTCCGACAACTGAAGTGGCGGGGCGTGCGCGTGTCGTTGGCAGTGGGTCCCTGCGCGCTGGACTACTCCAAGATGAAGACACAGGACCACTTCTGGACGGACCCTCCGGCCGACGAGCTGGTGCAGCGGCACCGACTGTCCAGCGGACTCGCGCCTCCCGGAAACGGACCTTCCACGCCGCCGTCGTCTAGGAGGCCGCTGGGACTGCAGGTACCGCTAGAGTCGCTGAATAAGCTTCGATACGCCTCTCCCCGGTTATCATGCGGGTGCCGTCATTTTGGAGCCAGATCGGTCGCAATCGACGATTATTATTTCTGTTCGCAAATGCGACTTCCCTACATTTGAATGTGGTATCGGGAAGCTCAGTCCATAGCGTTCTGCTCTGTCGCGAATTGTTTATGACATTTCTGGAGGACGGAGACCCGTTTCCTGCGGTTTCAGATAAAACTTAAGATAACTGGCAACAATGATTTTCCGCATCAAGATGGTCAAAATGTCGTTACTCTTATGCGTAGCTCAGTTTGAGTGGCATTAGACGCTCGTAACCAAGATGTAAGGCGCACCTCGCACTTCACCAGTGGAGACGGCCTTTACGGCGCGCCTACTGTTCGTGTTCCTCCCCCTCCCCCCCCCCCCCCAAAAAAAAAAAAAAGTGTTCTGTTTGGCATGTTGGTTGTCGCTACTTGTAAAGAAATAGGTGTTAACGCGTAGGCGAGCTGGTAGTATATAATCACTTAGAAACCTCGAAGCAAAAAAAGAACAAGCCAAAACAAAAAAAAAAAAAAAAAAAAAAAAAAAAAAAAAAAAAAAAAACGAGGTACATATTTGAAAAAGTTGTTCTGTCCCTCTTTTTTTTTAATTATTATTTGGCGCGTCTTTGGGTTGTTTTAGTAACTAACTCTGAAAGACCTTCGGTACATATGCATCGAAAGGTTTTATTCAGGACCGGTGTCTGGAATAACGTTCCAGGGAAATAGGGTGATAATTATGTTCATGCTTTCGATGTAAAGCTTTCGTGCGTGCTAATGTTTAAAACAATGTGTCGGGTGCACATTTATTGCTTTTATTGCTTTTGACGCCGTGTAGCGTACGGTCTGAAAAGCTGGAACACACATCCGGAAAACGAGCTCGGCGGGCGGAAATCGATCAGTAGTATTAACACACATATACACCGTTTTCTCCCCCTCCCCCCAAAGACAAATTTAATAAAACAAATCTGCCTTTTTTTATTGCAAAAATAAACGATGCGGTACTGAACGCTCTTACCAAACAAGATGGAAAAGTTTCAGCACTAATCGTTACCTTATTCAAAAGTGATACGCGATTTTCTGAACATTTGAATGGGGGAAAATGGGGTTTCAGTAACTGGCGGCACAGAGCCCCATGTATACGAGAGCTCAGTCGGCCGCTATTTGCCCATTCAAAATTAAAAAAAATCATGTAACTTTTTTTTTTTTATTTTGTAATAAAACGGTTAGCGCTGAAGCCTTGGCCTCTGAATCGGACCGCTAGTACTACATTTGGGTGGAGATTGAGCGTTCGGCTATGCATAGTTTGTTTTTGCATTAAAAAAAAAAAACCTGTCATTTTTTTAGAACACCCTGCACGCACACACGCGCGCGCGCACACACAGTACACACACACACGCACGCACACATATACACTCACACGCGCGCATGGACCTGTACGCGCTCGGGCGCGTGCACACACGCACAGACACAATAATACACATTCGCACAGTGGCATTGATCGTACGAAAATCGCAAATAAGCATACGTACTCTTTCCGTCCTACATTCGGTTCGTTGCGACTCTGTGTCAGGTGTGAGCCGCGACCGCGTAAAAAAAACCTTCGCGTGCTCGGTGCCCCGCAGTACCGGCGGGACCTGAAGGCCTCGGGCAGTTCCTCGGAGGAGGGCCACCGGGTGGTGCCGCTGGTGGCCCGAGACTACGTCGAGTCGCTGCACCAGAATTCGCGCTGCACACTGCTCTACGGCAAGAACAACGTCCTCGTCCAGCCCGTGAGTGCTGCCGCCCACCGCACGCTTCTTTCCAAGTGGGCCAGGCGTCGACGAAACCTTTTATCTAATCTATCCCTGGGTGTAATGTGGGAATAAAAAGGAGGAGAAGAAAAAAAAGGACAGATGTTCGCATTTGGACATTGACAATTTGGTTTTACAAATGTAATATGCACCATGATTTCAAAGCGTAAACATTCCGAACTCAATCACTGTTAGCATGTCTGAGAACCCGTATGATCTCACATGCAGAATGGATTACAAGGGATTGGAAAGGATTAGAAGGGATTAGAACGTCAGGGCGTCTCTTTTGAATGATCGGCGTCCAGCACGCGCTCGTTGCCTTCCGCCGTGCTTTGCCTATGCGTGAAAGCTCGATGCTCACGAGACGCCGAATCGTCATCGAAGAAAGGAATTTCGCGTTGGGAGCAGGACAGCGGAAAGACCTCTTTGGGGTTCTCGTATTTTCAGTGGCCGCATGCAGAACGAAAATTAATTACTCAGCTCAAAAAAGTGCGGACGGATGGGATCGAAGATGTCTCGCGAGAGAAGGAACCACCGCCTGTTCGTCCGTCGTCCTCTTCCCCGAAACGCCCGGGTATGCTCGTATTGAAGAGGTTGGCCTCCGGGTCTAAAACTCGGGATGACGTCAAAGCGTTACGTACGTGGCACAGTGACGTCATCGACATGGCACGGACACGAAATTCCTGGGGTTAGCTTTATGCATGCTGTACATTTCAAACTGGAAAAGCGCGCGTATACGTTCGAAGCGGGCCGTGCCCCCTGGTACATAACAAGCCCCTAGAGGGGCTTTATTGGGACGTGACTGCGAGCGCCAACCCCTGCTGCGTGTCGCAGCGCGAGCACCTGGAGCCGATGCGGGGCTACCTGTCGCTGCACCAGCGCTCCGAGGGGCTGGCGCTCAAGTGGACGCCCAACCAGCTGATGAACGGCTGCTGCAGCGAAACCAGCTCCTCGGGCGACTCTATGGGCAGCAGCCAGGACAAGAGGTGAGCGCAGCGGCAGCGCCCCGAAAGAAGCTCGTACTGCGCAATGGGGATCGCGGAAAGGGGGGCCCTTGCTTTTAATTCGTCGCTTTGGGACTTTTACTCGAGTTTCATATTTCCGGAACAAGTCCACGAATCGTAAGATCCTATTCGATTCTTTCCGAGCCAGCTGAAAAAAAAAAATTTTTTTTTTGTGCATTTGCGTCGGTTGCGTCCACAGCAACCAAAACGACAGCAACCACCAAGACACCGGAACAACTGGGACTCACGAATGCTTCACTAAGCTGCTGGGATGGTTGGGCACCTTTTGTACAGCGAACGCTTGTCCCGTTTACTTTGTCGCTGCTCTCGTTTTGGTCGCTCTGAACGGTGAACGGAACGGAGGCGACTGTCTGAATCATGCTTCCGTTTTAGATCCGAAAGATTACATGCACGAATCAAACGCACGAAATAGACAACACAGACGTTTGCTTCGTTCATCCACGTTATCGTCCTTCGATCTTGTATGCGAATCTGCGCTTCGCTCGCTTCTTCTTTTAGAAATTGAATTGAAAGATTGGATTTCGCTGTTGTAGAGTCACTGGAACTGGGAAAGTAGCGTCATTGCCTTCCCACCTGCTGCTGGGACACAAACAAATACCAACATACAGACAACAGTACCTCTCGAAATGATTGGCTCATTGCTGTCGGTTGCCATGTTGATCGCCACGTTGAACCCTTTCAAAGTTTCGGAGCTTCGAAAGGGTCGTCAAAACCGGTCGCACCAAGATCGCTATGGAGTATCATCGTACTGAACGCGTTCCTCGGAGCGTCTTTAGCAGTGTGCGTGCAATAAACGTATCACTCATGCTTATATCCCCAGATCTCTTACCCCCAATTACGTTGCTCTTTTTGCAAGTTTCAAGACAGTAAAAAAAAAAAAAAATTCAAAGCCCCCAAGCACCGACGCCGTGTGTGATGCCGTACATCTTCGTACCGGCATCACACGCAATGTCAATGCTTGGACGCATGGAAAAATAATTTTACTGCCTTAAAATACGCAAGAAGAGCAACATAAATGTAAGAGATCTGGGGAAATAAGCATGAGTGATACGTTTATTGAATGCACAGTGCGGAAGACGCTCATATTGGCCGAGAAACGCGTTCAGTATGATGATGCTCTATGGCGATCTTGGTGCGATTGGTTTGGACGACCCTTTCGAAGCTCCGAAGCTTTGAAAGGGTCCGAAAGTGGCGATCACCATGGCAACCGACGGCGATGAGCCAATCATCTTGAGAGGTTTTGTTGTCTGTATGTTGGTATTTGTTTGTGTCCGGCTAGCAGGTGGGAAGGCAATGGCGCTACTTTCCCAGATTTAGTGACTTTAGTACGAGAGAGCGTGCATCAACCGTGCAAGGAAGGGAGGATTAATGTAAACTATGACGTCCCTTCTTTTTCTCTTAGTTCTTCGGATTGCATTTCATTCCTAGTCTGATTACATCTAAGTTTTTTTTATAATTTGCGAAACATGTAGATTACGTTGTAACCACAACAAGACAAGTAAGCAACCTCGTTAATGTCGGTTTTAAATTGCTCAAAGTTGTTTTAGTGCCACGTACACAAACCACTCTCGCCTTGTTGTAGGGAAAATTTACGGGATAAATCGGCAAGAAAGACTCTCGCTGAAGCCATGTCGAGCGCGCGTCTAACTCAGTTATTGTTGAGCTCGAAACCGCCAAATGTGCCTACCGGACTACGGAAACAGGAAAGAGCATTTAGGACTATCGAAGTGTGTTCAGAGGTAAATATATGAAACTATCATGACAAATTGTACAAGAAAGAATCGGGGAGTAGGGAAAGTAGGATGTGTTGCTTGCCTATAAAAATGACTCTCCCAGCTTGGTTTGTGACGTTCTCGCGTTCGCCGTCTCTTTTTCAGCGTTTACTGGGACTACGCACTGAGCGTGAACATGCATGATATCGTCTATCTTCACTGTCATCAACAATGTAAGTGAGATCCCTTCCACTCGAGTCATAATTATATTTTACCGCTATGGGACTCGCTTGCCCGATCACCCCATTCCCGTGGAAGCTCGTGCGAAGGGGAAAGCGAGTGTTGTCCCAGAAGGAAACTCCCAACTTAAGGGTCACCACATCCCACAATATATATTTTTCGTGGTCCCGTAGAGGCTCTTCTCGTTTACACTCAATGTGAGGTTTCCGAGAAGTTTTGGTTTCGAGTTCTTGGCGCCAGCTTCGACCACCCCCGCGATTCGTTCTGTTTCTTCTTAGCTATGCCGCACGCCCAATATCCTTTTTGCACTCGCCGTCTGCATGCCCATGCTAATCTTAATTTGAAATAAAACAAGAAAAGGTTCGGAGTTACGCGCGTGGCCATAGGGACTTTCCGGATTAAAGGCCCGTTTACACAGTACCGTTTGCTTACGGAGTTTACGGGAGCTTACGTCTGAATACGTCAAGTTGCGACCACCAGTCACCTAGACGTGGGTGCTTTGTATGAAGCGTGGAAAGCAATTCGAGGAGAAGGTTTGGACGCGAAATACGAAGCACAGGTGTCTCAATGACTCACAACGTAACGTAAAGTAAAAAACAAAACGCGATTAAGTGTTAAGGTTAATTAACAGATGGGCGTTTGCTTACTCCTTCTTGCGTTAGGCTACGAGTCATAGGAACATCCGCACCTCGTATGTCGCGTACTCCTCCTTGAATTAGTTGCCACCCTTCATGCAAAACACTGGCGTCCCGATGATACTCAACCTAAGCAAACGTAAGCTCCTGTAACATAACTCAACGTAAGGCCCTTGAGGCCTTGTTCTCTTAAACGTCACGACGGTTTCACAACGCTGACGTCGGCGGCGTCCTCGTCTGCGCAGCCTCGGACACCGGCGGCACCCTAGTACTGGTCGGCCAGGACGGGGTGCAGCGTCCGCCGATCCACTTCCCTCGGGGCGGCCACCTGCTCGCCTTCCTGTCCTGCCTCGAGAACGGGCTGCTGCCCAAGGGACAGCTGGACCCGCCGCTTTGGACGCAGAGGGGAAAAGGTGCGGCCGTTGTCATCAAGCTTGAGAAACATTGCAGGAGCTGTACTTCTTTTCTTTTTTTTTTTTCGGTTCCAATCATCTGCTGACTGAAGTGCTAGCTTTATTTGCACTTGAGGCTGCTCCCCGAACCCTCTGTTGCTTAGACGCGCCGAACCGTTTTTGCACACTGTGGCGGCCGGCTTCTGTGCCTTCTAGCATTTTTTAACAGCTAGTTTTTTTTTTTTTGTTTTTTTTTCAACACAGGATGTGGTATACGGCTGGCCCTTAGCAGTTGGCAAAGTTGCGCCAGCATTCGTCTGGAACTCGGGTCCTCTCTGATAAAAAAATGAGCCCCAGCCAAACTCTGACGTGAGCGTAAGAAAATTCACACAGCAGCGTTTGATTACGCTACGTTGACTGTGTCCTCGATCTTACTCGAGTATATCCGGGTTACTCCCACGAGTCATTTCACGTGATGGCACTGAGCTGTGCCAACTCAGTTGAGAAACTTCCATATGAGCCTGCTTTGGAGAACCCACTCCAACCCGACTGTCCCGGCCGTACTTCAGCGCCGAGCAAGATGCGATTGCAGCGCCGCCATTTGTGCCGTAGCGGTAGCTCCAGGAACGAGGCATACCGGAATGGGGATGATGGTACACGGTACAGTCGCGCCTCCACATCTCTGCTGGATTCCCCCTCTCCGTTCGCCGCCCCCCCCCCCCTCCCTCAAAAAAAGAGCAACAACGAAAAACAAGTGTTTTGAAGTGAAAAATCTGCCCCTCTCCCGCACTTTCGTGCCAAAAGTAGTCTCAAAACAGATCATATTGAGTGGTGCTATGCGAACGCTACGCATGACAGTGTTCGCTCCGTCGAGGCATAACATACATGCGAAGTTCCTATGTGCAAAATCCCCGCGAAGCAACACTGAACGCATTTTGAGTTTCTCCTGCCTGTGCCGAAATACGAGTAGACACAAAGCTAGCTGCCCTTTTCTCTACTCAATCGTCGAACGCGTTCCAGCGCTGAACGCTGGCGTCCGTCGTTTGGAGTTTGCGCTCTCTTCCTCCCTCAATTTTGTTTTTCTTTCAAGAACTTATGAACAGCCCCGGAAGCGTAGAGTTGCTTCCTCACGAAGTAAAACCATGGAGCGAATCCGGAGCCCCTGATTGACCTCTTTGAGGCACGTCACAAATGCGCGCACCGTCGGCAGGTTAAAACGCGCAGCAGTGTTTCACGCGTACACAGATGTCGCCTAGGATAAATACATATGCCGCCTCGAGAGATAGTGGTTATCTTCGCTTTTTTTATTCTACACGCGGGTTAGGCCCGAGACGCTTTTAGCGCTCCACCACGCGGTGTTAGGGGTTCGTATCCGCTGTCGAAACTAGCCTTTTCTTTACCGCCAAATATCTGTCGCCTCGTAATGTTCCGCCGCACACTGTCGCCGCGAAGCGGCGTGAACGAGGGGGGGGTCGGGTGGGTTAACACGCACCGCAGTGATACACTCCGCCGTCCGCCACTGCACCTCCGAAAAGGGCGAGCCCGCCGCCGTGCTCGGTGATAGCCGTCCTCTTATCTCAAACAACAAACAACGAGCTCGAAAGGGTCATTGTTGTCCCGTGCTTTCGAAACAGCGGAACGTTCAAATAGGCCAACTTGGGCCCGTGGATTTGCTCCGTGGTTTTACTCCGCGAGCGAACGGCAATACGCGCCCCGGAAAGCGTGCTTCACCGCGGAGGAACTATGTATGCGGGAAAGCCAGCTAGCTGCACTAACGCTGTGCGCCGAGGTCGGTGGTATCGCGTCCACACCGAGTAAATTCAAGTGAACGCCAATTTCATCTCGGTTAAATCAAACGCCTTTCCCTTCCGACTAATTCCGGCCCTGCGTAATTAAAATGCGCTTTGCGTTTTCGTATCCGTTTTGTAGCATCACGCCGCTGATTTCTTTGGGATACTGGGATTGACAGCTGCGGACGCCAGGGAACGAGTGTAAATTGACAATTAGCGAACTAATTACCTAGAAATACCTAATTATCTTTGTTTAAATATTTGTCTGAGCTTACGTGCTTCAGTCATATATCTGTTTCTCGTCGTCAAAGTAGTCCATTAAAGTCGTTCGCGTTTGAAGCTGAGCATTCCGCCCCGCGCTATCCTTTGTCCAAGTTGAACTGTTTCGAGCCTGTCATGCCGAAACTGACAGAAAAACCAGAAACGCCAAAAACGCCAACCAAAACGCTTAAATTTTCCTCCAAACAGCATTAATCTGAATTTAGTTCTTAATTTTAACGACTGGTACAGCCTATTTTGACGACAAACCATGTTTTTCCTATTGAATAGTTCCAGCTAAGGCAAATGTTTCTAAAGGTAATAATCGGATGTTAAGTCATCTTAAGTAATCACAAATTGCGCATCGCCAGTGATTCCTGTTACTTGACGGCTGAACTGCGGATTCGCTGCGGATTCGGGCATCACTCGGCCCAATTTGTTTGCTCCAGGCAAGGTGTTCCCGAGGCTACGCAGAAAAGGCAAGGCCTCGTCCACCGTCGGCGAGGACTCGTCGGAGCCGGAGTCGGAAGACGGTAGCTCCGACTTCGTCTTCCGTGTCATGGGCTCCCTCAAGCCGGACTCGCTCGGTGAGTGGGCGGCTGCTGCACGCGATACTCGACAAACCGGCGTGTTTGTCTCACCCCGGCTTTGTAACGATATAACAAAGCTGAAAAAAAAAAAGGGAAGCGACCTTTATCTTTAAAGTTCCACACCGCATTCAATGCAAAAGTGAATATCTGAATTTGTTTATAAGGTATTAAGCAGTCGTTTCGGGGAAGGAAAGAAATACTTTGCATGTTTTGACGGTATCACGTGATCTCACGCGAGGCGGTCACTTAACGTGATCTAACGTCGCGTGACTTCAGGTGATTGACGTCACAACACGTGACCGACCTGAATTCGTGTCAAATTAATCAACAATTCAATTTGTCCACAAAAATGTAGCGGGAAAACGCTTCCCGCGTAACCAGTAACGTGTGACGCGACCTGAACGGACGCATGAACGCACGGATGCGAAAAAGAAGCTCCCGCTCAAGTGGGCAGTTGGCGGCGCGAGCTGAGTGCCCGGCCGTGGTCTCGCTGCCCCAGAGGACCTGCTGGAAGGCGCGGGGCTAGCGGAGCAAGAGGCCTCCGCGGACCGGCGCCGCGTGTCCCGCCTGCAGGCCCACTCGTCCTCGTCGCGGTCCAGCGAGTCCCCCCCGCTGACGGCTGACGACGTGCCCAAGGCCGAGGCGCCCCGGCCACCCAGGGCCAACGGCTGCACCGCCGGGTGGGCTGCCTCTCCGCTCGTCCGCGCGGCCGCGGGCTGCATGGCCGGTGGATGCAACGCTTCCTGTACTTGGTTCCCCCCTAAAGGCCGACGAAGTACCAGAAAGAAGGAAACGCTCCCTCAGTTCCTCCTTTGCATTCGAGAAAGATGGAGCTAGTTCCTCCTCCTTCCTGCGGGGAGTAGCCCAGGAGACCAGCTCCTGTGGGGAGGGGAGAAGAGAACGAGAGAGAAGGGAGAGAGGGAAAGTGGGAACCCTTTTTCTTCCCGGCGGAAGACGATTCTTTAAGTCGGCCTTTAAGACTGAAGGCCCGTTCACAGACTTGCCTTTGCGGACCGAGCTCGTGTTATGTCTTACGGCGAGATAACACATTGGCACGCGTGCGCCATCTATATAACGGGGCCCCGGAACTGCCTCTCACTAAAGCGAAGGTTTTAAAGTTGCGAGATCAAATGTGCGTACTATAATTAAAAAAAAAAAAAAAAACAGACTTTGATGGCATTGCCAAAAATTTCAAAGAAAAAAAAAAAAAAGACAATGATGCGCGGAAAACAAATATACGGAAGTATCTGCAAATCTTTCACCGCTTCCCGATGGACTGCGCCAGGGCGTTCTCTCCTCGTAAGCGGTCGCAACATGTTTTAAGACACTCGGTCGTAAGCAGTGGCAAGTGTGTGAAGCAGCCTTAGCGATAGACCGCAACCGGCGCTTGGAATTATCGTAGTCAGTCCAGCGCTACGTAATAATCACGTGACTAGGGGCTCCAGGGCATCGCTGTGCCCCCTCCTTCCCCTGAAGGTAACGTGATCTCACACGGCATCGGATTGGCTCCGATGGGTGGTAGCGTCCGCTCCGGTCCATCGTAAGGTGAAACAGAGCGTAAACGGCAAGGCCGTACAGTGCTGAATTTTCGGCGTTACCTAAAGATGGCCATCGCGGGCACATATTGGTCCCGAGTGCTGCGTCAGTGTTCGGCGGGGTCTCGGGTCTTCATTGATTGGACACGAATTCCATCCGATTGCCGACGCAGCATTCGTGTCCAATCTGCAACACGCGTTTGCCTTCTTTGGCTGATGCCGAAAATCTATCACTGTACGGCCTTGCTACCTATGGCAGTGTCGTATACAACCAACGGCGTTCCTCGAACGCGTTCCTTGTAGTTTGTAGGAGGTACGCCGCCGTTCCGTCTTGCATTGGGAACGGGAACTCCTTACGTTTTTGAGGGAACGTCACGCAGGTTATAAGTACGAGTATGGGCCGATGCTTTGGCATCATACCCGATTGTCTAGCGTTCCGTTCGGCCGGAAACACGAGGCGCATACTATAACTGCGCGGCAAGAAAAACGCGTTTTGGTTTTCTCAAAATTTGTTGGCCTAGATAAATAAAAAAATAGGCGGAACCAATTATTCTCCTTCTCCCAGAGCACGTCGAGACTACTTGAATAAAAATGTTGATGTGAGAGCGAAAAAAAAAAAAAAAAGAAAGTCGTGGAGGGTTGGCCAGCCTTAAAATGGCGCCGGCTACACCCTCACTTGCAAAGTTAGAAGTGAATGTAGATGATATAATGACCTCATCCTTTTGTTTGGGAACAAACGCGTAATTGACGTATCTTGACTTCCAGGCAATCGATCCAGCTTTTGTGCGACACCATGAAGAAGCAGATCATCTCGAGGGCCTTTTACGGATGTAAGTGGAGGACCGTGCGACAGCGAAGACACCTCTAGCTTCTTGAGCCTTCGCCCGATGAATGCAGATTTGGCACAGTTTTTTTATGTTTTGCTTCGGAGACAACTTCCACATGGGAGCATTTTTCAACTGCCAGCGTAGATGAGAGTTTGCTAAGTTTAATCGTAATTATTGATTGGATCACGTATTCCCGCCATTATGACCGTTAGCTTTCTGTCGTTGTTCCTCTAAGTTACGACGGCTAATTAAATCGAAAGTAAGTTTGAAACGAGAGGAACTAGGCGCAAGTTTTCGTTAACGGGAATTTCTTATGACATTCGTGTCGTTGTCGTGATCATAGTCGTGGTCAGCCACCTTATGTGTACGTTTTCAGTTATCCTTTGAGTTATCAGTTGAGTTGCCAATATAGTTATCAGTTGATAGTTTAGTTTTCAATTATTAGTCGAGTCGTTACTTGAGATGTCGGTTGTGTCATCAGTTAAAGAGTTCATCGTTTTGTTCTTAGTTGAGGCGTCACTCGGGTTGCCAATATAGTTATCAGTTGATAGTTGAGTTTTCAGTTATTAGTCGAGTCGTTACTTGAGATGTCAGTTGTGTCATCAGTTAAGAGTTCATCATATTGTTCTTAGTTGAGGCGTCACTCGGGTTGTCAGCGAGATAGATCTTAAGGTCTAAACCACGTTTATTTCTCAAATACAGTTCGTCGGCAGCTAATGCAACGAACAGAGCCGTCCAATAATATACCGTAGATATCTCGGGTTTAGAATGTTTTCAAATACCTTTAACTGACCAGCTTCTCTTTTGTTTAGCCCTTTTGCCGTCTTCTGTCGGACGTATCCAGTATGGGACTCTCCCGTGTCATAACGATTTCGTCGTCGCTCTGGCGGGCCGCGCAGTTCACGTCTTGAGGGCACACTTCCGACGGAGGGCGCTTGGCCGCGCAGGGCTGGCGCACTGCCGGCACCTGCGCACCGTGCGCACCCACCTGTCCGGCCTGGTGCAGCCGACCATGGTGTCCCGCGAGGAGCCCTGCGACGCCACGGGGGGCCTGACCCCGGAGGCCTGGACGGGCCTGTCGCCCGGCGGAGTGGTCAGCAACGCCCACGAGCTGCACCGCCTCGTCTACTTCGGGGGCGTCGACCACGACGTCAGGAAGTTGGTCAGTTTTTCGGGTCGAGGCAATACCACCTTAGAGGAAAAGGCCCGCGTATAACGTCATCCTTAGTGGAGCCCCGACCCGCCCCAAGCGGGTCGGAGTTCCCACTAGACCCCATACTTCAAACATGTCTGCACAGAGTTTACGTATATCCAATGTGACCGTCATACAAGGACTGTCTTTTGTATAATGTACTAGCAGTCTGACTACCGCTTTAAGTGTATACATGTTCGCGCGACAAATTCGTCCGCGGACAAGAGTTTCTACAAGATTTGTGACATCACATTTTTTGGGAATTCAAACTCCGCCATCTTCGTGAAAAAAAAAAAAAAAAAAAAACCTGCTGGCAAGGTTTAGGAAAGAGTCTGACGGACTGGAGGAAGTTCGTGTATACGGCATGGTCCGCCGTCACGAAATGGGTCCGCTGACTTGCGGACTTGTCTGTCATGAATCAAGGTCAGGTAATACGCATATTTTCCTGGTCCGCAGACCCCGTTCCAGAGATTTGTCCGCGGTGTGAATGCGTGTCTAACATCAGTCGGAGACGCGTTCCGAAAGGAACTCTTCGTAGATTGTACGCGGGAGCTTTGCATTGCTGGCAGGAGCTCGAGCCACCAGGTTGAGCATGTATTATGTACTTGCCCGCAGAGTTCGCAATCCGCAATGTACGATCTACGAAAAGTCCCTAATAGTGTCCTTGAGTCGTGGCGGCTAAAGATTGCAGCCAATAACAGCTCTGCAGATCGACAGCACTGTGGTCAACAATTGCTAACAAATGCTGTATTCATTGAGAGTCATAAACAAAAACAAAAATATAAGCAGAAACTTTCGCTCGATTATTTTCCCAGTCGCTTGTCATCTCTCTCTTTCGCGCCATTTTGGCATCGCAATGACTCTAAAGTGTAGTAGCTGCAAAGTGCCTTCAACTAAAGGTGTCAGTTGGGTGCCATTTTGCCGCCCAAAGGAGGGCTTCGTTATCGGAGAGTTTGTTCTGCAAAAAAGCTAATACTGCTGAGGAGTGAAGGGACGGCGACTAAACTGAGATCGCGTGCCCCTCAGGTGTGGCCGTACCTGCTGGGCCACTACGCCCTGGGCAGCACGGACGCGGAGCGGGACGCGCGCGACGGCAGCGCCCGGGCGTCGTACGAGAACACGCTGTCCGAGTGGCTGGCCGTCGAGGCCATCGTGCGCCAGCGGGACAAAGAGGCCAGCTGCCTCGCCAAGCTCTCCTCCGAGAGCACCACCAGCGAGATCCCCCTCATAGGTGCGCAGCCCTGGCCCACTGTTCGTGGAAGTGGCGGGTGTTTTTCCCGTCACTCTCATCAAACGCATCGTTGAAGGCTCAGACCCCATCTGTGTGCTAGCGCCAGCGGTCTTTTTATGTTAAAGTTTGGGAGCTCAACTTTGTGTTATTGAAACGCTTGAAGCGACTCTCTGAAAATGTGAGTGAGAAAATGGCGGCCAGCGGAGCTTGTGGTTACCCGGAGAGGAATAGCGTTCGCTGCTCAAGACGAACGCCGTCCTTGATTTTTAAACTCTCCGAAAACGGCTCCTAACTGCTGATCTCCGCGGGTAACGTTGAGTTTTGAAACTTTGATACTTTATCCCAACCACAAGCGCCACATTGGAACCAAGCTTGAGCCTCCGGTGATACGTAGTTTATTTTTGAGGCTCGAAAACCCCGGTTCACCTCTCTCGGCCGACATCCGGTAGCTCGGTAACGATGACGATACGATGCGTGCGTGAGGGCGGCGGCGTTGTATCGGGTATCGTTATCAGAATCATCAAAACGATCTACTAAAACTCTCTACGTTTAGGAGGTTCCTTTCGAGTGAGGATATCGGAACGATTACATGCATGGCTTGCACGTAACGTCATTGCATCACGCTAGTGTTCATTCTTGCTTGTTTCTGCGGAGAAAAGAAAAAGAAACTGGGTGGTGCGAAATGCATGCTGCGAGAGATACGCTTTCAACACAAGGCCACCATTATGGCCGCTCCCCTTATGCCGATGCAAGCCCATGTATGGGGCGAACGGACGACACAAATCAGAAACTAACTTGCGCCACATATGGCCAGATCTATTCGGCCTTGGCTGGTGGGAGAGCTCCCTCTTCAGCCAAGGCCGAGTTTGTCTTCGAGGCTCGCGGAGCTGCTAGATCGAGTGCGCGTCCCACGCAGGCCCCAAGGACGCCCACCTGAGCAACGAGGTGTTCGAGGAGGCGAGCAGCGAGGGAGGCTCCCTGAACGAGCCCCAGGAGGAGACTGAACTCCAGGAAGAGGTCGAGCCCTGGCCCCAGGCCGAAGCGGCCGAGGCGTCGCCCAGCGCCTATTCCACGCCCGGGGGCACGCCGCAACGTCTGAGCCTCCTCCGCCACACGCAGGGTACGCGCACACTTCGCCCGGGTCGCGGAACGTCTCCTCGTGACCGGAGTGCAAGGACCACGAGGCGAACTATACGGGTGGAAACGCAGGGAGAGGAGGATATGAGGGAGCCCGGAAACGTCAGAACGCCGGCTTCCGGTTGGAATGATTGGCGGGCAGAGGCAATGCCTCCGGCTTCCGACGTTTGGCGTTCGCGTTCGAACAGAGGAGGCCCGCTTACACATTTGCAACCGAGTAGTACCGACTGAGACAAGACCGGCTTTTAAACCTCTTGCGACGGCTTGGGACTGGACGCGCTGCTGCAAAGCAGGTCCTAAGCCCTCACAAGAGGCTCGGAAACCGGTTTTGTCTCAGACGGTCCTACTCGGTTGCAAGTGTGTGAACGCGCCATGAGAAGAGACGGAGGCGGCTATAGCTTTGCATCGACCCACTAATCAGTCCAATCAGAGCTCGGCTCCCCGGTGTCCTCGCGCTTTCTCATCTCCTCCTTTCCCCTAGTTTTTATTCGTATAGTCTCCGACGGAATAAGAACGGCAGGGAAGAGTTTGGGTTTTCCCGCCTCCAGTTCTAACGTTTCACCTCCGATAACATTTCGGCGTCTCAACCTTCGGGCGTACACGTAGACAGCAAAAGCACGGCGGAAAGCAATGAGCGCGTGCCGGAGGCCGGGCATTCGAAGGAGAAGCCTTGCCGTTCCCATCCTGTCTTAGAGAGTTTTGGTAGGTCGTTCCGATGGCTCCAATAACGATACCCGATTCTCCACCCTTACGCATGCGTCGTGTTGTTATCGAATATCATTAATGGTGGTATCGGAGGAATCGGAACGATCTACTAAAACTCTCTATTAACCATGCCGACTAACCGGAGCCGCGATTTTAAATGTAGTCGTAACGACAAAAAGGGTCCTTGGACAGACCCGCGAAATAGTAAGGCATCGAATATGTGCGAGTTGTTTATCTCTCGAGGCAGCAAAGTTGGCAGGAGAAGGCCAAGTGCGCATGATGAAATTTACCGCAAAACACAACCTCGTTAAAAAATTGAAATTGTTACGTGAGGGCGCCCATTTTTCCGGCCGATTTCTGAGCCGACCTCAGAGATTTCTGACACCCAATAGTGTAACAGAACCGAGAACGAGAAATTTAATATTTTTTCTTCATTTTATTAAACGCAAAACTGCAGTGCATTTTTTTTTTGTTTTTTTGTTTTTTAATTAGACGACGCGTTGCCGAACGTTTGGTCTCGGGCCCAATGTAGCTCTAGCGGTCCGAATGAGATGCCAGAGTGTCAGAACTAAATGCTATTTAAGTCAAAAAGTTATAAGTCCCTTTCCGAAAATTTCGATGGAAAAATGGAGCCCATTCACGGTAACTGGCGCCATTCAGCTCCATGTATTCGAAGACTCCGTTGGCCGCCGTTTACTTAATGAAATTTGCAGGAAATCATTTATACCTTTTTGAATAAGATAACGGTCAGTCCTGAAACTTTGGCATCTTGTTGAGACCGTCGGCGCTACATCTAGGCGGTTTCAATCTGGACGAGCATCGTACCGGCGTCCGGTCCTGTATCACTACTGCCCGGTGCACCTTAGAGACCCCAAGCTAGAGGTTGTACCGCAGCGGCTAAATTTCTCCCTTACGGCTGAGACACTAGACGCCCACTGAGGCCGACTAACTTCCGACAGCATAAACATGCAAGCAACAACAACATAATAATAATTATTATTATTATTATTTCGGCGGAAAACGAGTGTCCGGCGATGCGTAGTTTCTTTTTGCCGTGAAAGACACCCGATAAAAATTGCCTGGGTATTATTATTATTATTAATATTTCGGCGGAAAACGAGTGTCCGGCGATGCGTATATAGTTTCTTGCCGGGAAAGACACCCGGAAACTTTTTCTGGGGTACTTTGGCGTGGTGCCGTAGTTTCTTGCCGTGAAAGGCACCCGGTATATTTTTCCGGGGGACGCCCCCGTACTGTGGCGTGGTGCCCGCAATGAGCGCGCGTGCCGAGCGGAGGTGGTTGGACGCAGAGGCCAGCCTGCCCGGCCAGGGCCCCGTGGCACTGGCCCTGGACTCGCCCAGGGACTCCCTGGACGCAGCTCACGAGGGAGTGGAGGAAGGCGGGGAGTGCTCCTGTCCCCGGGGGGACCTTCTGCTCCCGCCGCCCGAGCACGGGGACCAGCTGTCCGTCGACTCGAGCTGCGTGTCTCCGGCCTCGTCCAGCGGAGGCGTTTACTCGGTACGTGAAATACTCGGGGGCCGGCAAAATGGTCGAGGCGGCAAGCATCCAGGAGCGCTTTATCGGCATCTCTCCTCGCCGCATGCAGAAATCTATGGCCGGAATGGACCCTTATAAAACATCGCAGCCATCTAGCGGCAGTTTCAAAAGCTCCAATATTTCTGCTCTACTGGCGGTGATTGGAGAACAAGTTAATGTTCTAAAACAAACGCCCGTGACATTGCAAAGGGAAGGCGATGTACGAGTACTAACTCATTAGAACCCTCTCCCCGCTTTCTGTAATATGCTTTTGAAAAGGTTAACCCACTTTTTCTGGTGTGGAAAAGATGTGTCTTGCCGCCATTAGGGCGTCAGATTTAGCTTGGGATAGTGTGGATAGACTGACTTTTGAAAATGGTTCTACTGATCTATTTGCCACCCGCGTGTCGGTTACTCAACAGGCTTCTTGACGTGTTTCTTTGTTTGTTTGTTTGTTTGTTTGTTTGTTTGCGTGTGTATGTGTGTGTGTGTGTGTGTGTTTGCTTGTGTGTGTGTGTGTGTGTGTGTGTGTTTGCTTGTGTGTGTGTGTGTGTGTGTGTGTGTTTGCTTGTGTGTGTTTACAAGCAATGATACATCCGCCAATGCACAATGTGCGTACCTCGAGCTGGCCTTGTAAATGAAATACGCAGCACCGGGTTTGACTAACCAGACACCATGTTGCTTTTTCAAGCACTCGTTCGTGGCACGTGCCTCACACGAATCACGAGAGGATTGTCAGCGTTCTTCTATACTCCGGTCACGCCTAAAGGGGCACTGTAAAAGGACGAAAAAGAAACCAAATGCTGCTTAGAAGGGCGTGCCTTTCAGCGTCAAACACGAGCGTTCAGTGATTATGTCGTCATTAGTGCCACTAAATAAGCTACGCTTCAGAGTAGCGACACATGGCCATATTGTGTCTTAAAATCATGGTTGCCAGTTATTGGAAGCTTTCTCTAAAGTCACAGGAAACGCTTTTCCGCCTTCTACGAATGTTTAAACAGTTCGCGACAGAGCAAAGCAATGTTACATGACCTTCCTAACACCGAATCTTATGCTGAGGAAGTCGTTCTTTTGAATCATGACGATCGGCAGTTGCGTCTGCTCTGCATACGAACCAAAATGGCGGCGCCCACAATAATGTCGGGGAACGGAGTGCGGAGCGCAGCTCATTTAGTGGCTCTAGTCGTCATTATCTGACGCTCTAACCTAGAGCGTCGGATAATGACGACATAATTCTACAGGTAGGACTGGCTGAATAGGTGCACGTGACCCTTCAGATCTTTTTGATCTTTTTAAGCGCGTGAATCTTACTCAATTTTTTGCTTTGAATACCCATAAATCGGTGGGGTATTAACATCTTCACAACTGGATGTTAATTCCAACAATTAGGAAGATCGCGCATGGTTGTTGCATGCTCTTGTCGTTTTGGTTATCTATTGATTTATACCAAAGGCGTCATCAACAAACAGAGAGAAAAGTGCTCAAAATTTCGAACTTTTTTACTTCTTATGTTTAAAATACATAATAGTTCTTCTTTATTTTATTTTTAATGTGTTGCTAAAGGCCCACTCACTAGTTCGAGCGAACGCGGAGCAAATTAAAAAAAAATGACCAGAAACGCTGTGCAGGGCCCTGTTAAGCTGAGACTAGAAGCTCCGCCTTCATCGCGAACTCGCTGGCTTCCTTAGTGCTTTGGTTGCGCGTGCCTGGGCGTTTGCACTTGTGTTATTAAGGGCAGAAAGCTCGCGCTGAAGGCGGAGCTTCTAGTCTCAGCTTAAGGGTGAACGTAGTATAGTAAATGCGAGGCATGAATTTTATCGTGGGGCTTTACGATCTGCGAGTGCGTAAACAGAAAAGTTCGAAATTTTCTCTACCCCCCCCCCCCCCGCGCACTGTGTGTGTGTGTGTGGGGGGGGGGGGGTAGAGGACGAAAGACGACTCGAGCGCGGCCATGTGTTCCTCAGACGGACCTGCTGGACCTGTTCTCGCTGAACCTACACCGCATCGACAAAGACGTGCAGCGCTGCGACCGCAACTACTGGTACTTCACGCCGCCCAACCTGGAGAAGCTGCGCAACGTCATGTGCACGTGAGCGCCCGAGACTCTCCCTATCCTGGGAGCGGCGACTTGAACGGCGTTACCCCCCTCCTTGCAGCTACGTCTGGGAACACCTAGACGTCGGCTACGTGCAAGGCATGTGCGACCTCGTAGCGCCCCTGCTGGTCATCTTCGACGACGGTGCGTGTACACCAACTTGCGGCCTATACAACGTGCAAGTTCTTCTGCTCTTTGCGCACCTCGTGCGTTTGTTTACCCTTCAGATGAGCCCATGCGTGTGCTTCTGTCTCCCCAGACCTCAACGCGTTCCTCGCGTTTCAATGCGCCAAGGATGCATTTTGGAGCACTTGCTCGACGTATAGACTAGCGCGCCGCCCTCGCGTCACACCGTTGGTGTGGCGCTGCTGTCGGCACGGCACATGCGCAGACGCTTCACCTCGCGCGAACCTGGTTTCTGCGCGCGCGCAAGGCCCGCACCTGGTGTGGGTAAACGCGGGCTTGTTTGTATAAACAACGCGTTGACTTATAGAGCTTTGCAAAAATCGCGTTCTGCGCTTGCCACCTGTCTGCTGGGCTCTGGAACGCCTTCTGAGCATGCGCTGTTGATCTGGTCCGCTAAATATCGGACGCTGCGCATGCGCCCACAGCTCAGTGACTCAGCACCTTTCGCCCTGGTGATAAGCGATGCTAAGGTCTATAGACTATTCCAACAGTCGCCTTCTGCTCGCACGTTGCCACATATCGGCGCCTCATTGGGAGATAAAAGCAATCGGCAGTCTTGTACCAAATCAGTCCGGTCTCTTTGATGGATATTTACTAATTATCTGACGCTGCAAGCGTGAGAAAAAAAAAGGGGGGGGGGGGGGGCACGTCATCCACCTGATACGGTACCAAAGACACGAAACACTGATGATATGAGGGAACTGATCGAGCTCCTAATCAAGAATGGAGGGGCATGGATTGGACCAATATGTGGTTCTTTGACTTCAGTCTTCGCAGCGCATACTGAAGGCAAACTACTGCTTACCGCCTCTCCAAAACGACGGTGATGTTTGCAGAAACATTGTGGAAACTCGCCGTCGTCGCCCGCTCAGCCGCCACGAACTCAAATATGGCGACCTGTAAATGCGCATGGGAGGCAAACACATACGTTTCCTATTTTTACATAAATATAGCGAGCCTCGTTCATGCTGTACATAGGCGGTTTAGCCAGTGAACTACGAGTGTTAGCCGGGTGTGTGGAACAAGCATCACGACACGAGCAGGTTGTTTCGCGTCCCTTGCGCGCGGACATTCGTGCAACCGCCGCTGCGCCGCAGTTGCCGTTCAGGTCAGAGTGTAGTACACGCTTCGACTTATCTCATTTCCTGTACGCCGTGCACACCGTAGCGACAAGGGATAGGCCATAGGTGCACTGTTAGTCTGCAGCGTCGTCGGAAAGCACGCGTGGGAGGGCCGCTAATTACCGCAGGGCATCAGCCATTGCACGAAAGAGTGATGGAAGTTTGGGAAATGCCCTCGGGTTCGAGCGGTCAGCAGTTTACACCTCGACCCTTTGTATCCGCAGAAATGCTGACCTACAGCTGTTTTTGTGAGTTGATGAAGCGCATGGCTGCCAACTTCCCCCATGGGGGTGCCATGGACCACCACTTCGCCAACATGCGGTCCCTGATCCAAGTAAGAAGACCCGATTTAGTTTTTGTTATGCGTATACGAAGTACACGCGTCCGCCATCGCCACGGTGTACCGTGCCGATAGCTGACGGCCACCCGCACGGCATGTATACACCGTGACGGTGGTTTGGACATCCCCGAAGTTGGTTCAACAAAGTGCTCTTACACGATGACTGGCGCGAATATTTTTGGATACCATATACGCCCTCAAATGGGTTGCGCTTTATTTGATCAAATCCGTATTCAAACAACCTGAACGCCAAATATGTAGTATAGGCAAAAATTGTTTATATACTAAAAATGCAGGACACCTGCAATAAAAAAAAAATGATTCCTTCGGGATAACGCATGTACTCATGTACGTTATTAATAATAATGTTTATTTTTCCATCAAGCACAAGTGCATGATGGAAGGGGACGGAGAAAAAAAGCTGCATTTATTGATAGCGCCGGACCTCGGGGCACGAATGGGATGAGATAATTATCTCCATAGTTAGCTAAATCGTTAGTTTAAGCCATAATAGTTGCTAAGTTTGTAAAAGGTAAGTTCGACATATCGAGGCCTGTTCATTGTTTCGTTCTTCGCAGATCCTGGATGGCGAGATGTTCGAGCTCATGCATCAGAACGGGGACTATACACATTTCTACTTCTGCTACCGCTGGTTTCTGTTGGACTTCAAGCGGGGTGAGCGTACCAAGTCACCGCCCTCTTTGCGCAGATCAGACGTGGAGATCACAAAATAACTACGTTATTTTTTTTTTTTTGTTTGTTTGTTTGTGTGCAGGATTGCATTTTTACGGAAAGCACCTGAGATTTTGCGCGCGCGTATCGCGCGTCGGCGGGTAGTAGAGTGGAAGCCGGACGTTTTGGGAAGGGGGGGGGGGGGGGGGAAAGGGGAGATGCCGGAATTGTCTTTTAGGTCGTGTTGAACAGGCCCACGCAAGACCCGCACAATCCTTCGATGTGCCACAGCTTAGTAGGTGTTTGGACCGGACTTTAGAGCCAACGCGATGTGGTCGGACATGTTTTGAAGGCAAAGACGAAAGAACAAGGCGTCAATAAACGAGGACTGTATCTATGCGCACGGGCCTTGTGTACGGAGTCTCAGAACAGTAAGCCTCGGTCTCTTCCTCAGAACTGGTGTACCAGGACGTCTTTAGCGTCTGGGAGACCATCTGGGCCGCGAAGCACGTGGCCTCTGGGAACTTCGTGCTCTTCATCGCCTTAGCCATGGTCGAGTATTACAGGGACATCATCCTCGAGAACAACATGGACTTTACAGACATTATCAAGTTTTTCAACGGTTGGTTGACTTTTCGTCACGATCAGTCTCTGTGTCGCGTAAACGTAAACTGATTATCGATCTGTACGGGTGGCTTATCTTCCGCGAGTGCTTTCTTCAATCAATAACTAAAGATGCGAGGCCGGCAAGGGCGAGGGAAAACAGAAAGGGCAACCGCTAAGCAGACGCGGTCTACGAAAACTCTATAGTCTTAGCATATTGTTACCGCAGTCTACCGCGATCACATAAACGCTCCCGGCGCGCCGGTAGAAATACCGCTGGTAAAGTGACTGTAGCCTGTGGTAACGCTGCCTTAAAACTCCATAATATGGAGAGCAGCAACCCCATACGTGTACGAAGTTTTCAAGTTACATGTTCGTTGGTGTCAAACTGATGGCCTGTCCTCCGGGCTCCTGTTTGCAGAAATGGCTGAGCGCCACGACGCCAAGGCGGTGCTTCAGATCGCCCGAGAACTAGTCCTTCAAATTCAGACGCTCATCGACAACCGCTAAGCAGTCGCAGGCTGCGATCGTCCACGGCCCAGGTCACTTCGGCCCGGGATCTCAAGAGGAGTGGGCAACCCAAAGCTTGCATGCGGGAGGAGCCACATCGCCGGGACGCGGTCGACCGAGGGTGCCTTCATGTGCACTTTTGCTTAGGGTTGGTGTCATCTCTGTTTTGCTTACCATGCTCCTTCTTTTCTTTTTGCATTTGTCCTGTGAGCGCGTGTTGTGTACATCGGGTACTACAAAGAATGGCACCACTCTTAACAAAAGTACATTAAGGCACCATATGCGGAGAGAAGCGGAGGAGGTGAGAGCGCGCGGGCACGTCAGATCGTCGAGCTCTGATTGGAGTGATTAGTGGGTAGGCTCAAAGGCCGGCTGCCTTTGTTTCGACCATACATCCTGGTCTCATCTCATTGTTCGAACGCGTTCGAATGCCGAACGCCGGCGTCCGGCGCTCGATCGCGAGACACTGCGCGAGGAGCAGAAGACGCTCTTGCTCGCTCTGATTGGACGGTGGGTTGAGCAGACAAATGCGGCCAGCCTTGGCGTCTACCCACTAATTCTTCCTATCAAAACTCGATGCTCTGACGTTCCCTCGCGCTTTCATTTCCTCCTTTCCCTCAGTTTCCTTCCGTATAAATCGACTGTTAGGCCGAGCCTGAACAATCTCTGTGCTGTCCGAGTCTTTCCAAAAAAGAAACATGTTGTGTTTTAGCTGTTCTATTTTTGGCCTGCCGTTGCTTAAAATTGTGCGAGAGAATGACGGAGGGAAAAAACCAAAGTGTTCGACTGTTTGGAATGAATGTGAAAGCGGCAGAATACGTAATACATATATCGTCTATTGCTCTGTGAAAGCATTCTATGAAATGTTGCGTTGATTTAAGCCTCGTTCGTAATGAATAAACATTCCAGAGCTTTTATTTCAATCCTGCGGGAACGGTGTCTCGACCTTGTGACGGTGTTCATCGAGCACACAGCCGCCGTTGCATGGACACAAAACCGATGGATGATGACGTCTGCGATACGACAGAGGTATGATTTATCCCAACCAAGACCCTTCCCTGACTGAAATTCCTGTGCGGCTATATGGACACCAGCAAGGTAAGGATACGAACGTTGGTCAGAATGGCAGGAAGGATCGAGCCTCGGTTGTCCCGCCTTCAGCGCGAGCTTCGTATACATTCGACCACGGCCGGACTGGATAGGCGCTATCGCTTCTTCTCTTACGGCATTTTCTTTCACAGAAAAAAGTATGAGCACCATTCAACATGGGGGCGCCAACTACAGGTTACTTCAGAGCGTATGCATGGACCAACCTGCTACTTATAGCATACCAAGTGCTCAGCAGCAAGGGGCTCAGTTATGGCCGCCACTGAATGCCAGCTATAGTCGCAGTTCCACCCTCCAGCGATGGTCTATCGTTGTGTTCCGAACTGCGATTCCAGCTCGGGAAGACCCCCTCGCGTGTCTTTTCACCAGCTGCCTTGCGGTGAATCCCTAAGCACCACGTGAGAAAAGAAGATACCAAGAAAGAACCTTGTCAACAATTAGCAGATTGCTTTAATGGCCATCAAATGAATAAGCAAGATAATGATCATATCCTGCGATTTTTTGTGCCGTGGCATTACATCGGGGGGAATCAGCAGTCGGGTCTTCGACCAGCGCTGCAATTATGCTTTCTCTATAGTGATTCTCGGAGTTCCTACTCAGAATTAACGTTCACTGCCAGTCACCGATAATCTGCAAAACGTAAGGGCGCAAACGAGCTGGTGTACATTGCACATGGTTGAAAAAACCCCGAGACTGCGGGTAAACGACACAACACTAAAAAGTCTTTAACACAGCTGAAATTTTTATTTTCCAAACCTGGTTATATAGGCACTTCGATACAAAAGAAAAAAAGGGGGAGAGGGTGAGAACCCCAAAGAATGCCACTTTCCACCAACGTAACCTCTGACTAAACCACAAGGACAACAGACTCTGCGTCACGCACTTCTCTTATCTTTGACCCCTCGCTTCCCGACCGCCAAACACACTGGTAACCCCAAGCCCAGTAAGAAAAAAAAAACAAAAAAAGAAAAAGAAAAGAACGACCCATCGTCCCTTCTACCCGAAAACCGACAGACATAAACCTTGAAGGTCAGAACTTTTCACAGCCCAAGAAAACGCCGCAGTTCATTGTCCAACCCAAACGACGGCTTATTAACTGCATTCCCGTGACCTAATATCGTTAATGACTCTTTTATCAACCGTTTATGATCATCTTTTTCCCGCAACTCTACTGAAGTTAGATGCCACAACGGTACACAGTTTCTACATTCGATAACATGTTTTGACACTTCGGAGTACGGGTCTTGTTTCATTGAACACAAACGTTGTATAATGAAACAAGACCCGTACTCCGAAGTGTCAAAACATGTTATCGAATGTAGGAACTGTGTACCGTTGTGGCATCTAACTTCAGTAGAGTTGTGGGAAAAAGATGATCATAAGCGGTTGATAAAAGAGTCATTAACGATATTAGGTCACGGGAATGCAGTTAATAAGCCGTCGTTTGGGTTGGACAATGAACTGCGGCGTTTTCTTAGGCTGTGAAAAGTTCTGACCTTCAAGGTTTATGTCTGTCGGTTTTCGGGTAGAAGGGACGATGGGTCGTTCTTTCCTTTTTCTTTTTTTGTTTTTTTCTTTTTTGTATATGTGTTACTGGGCTTGGGGTTACCAGTGTGTTTGGCGGTCGGGAAGCGAGGGGTCAAAGATAAGAGAAGTGCGTGACGCAGAGTCTGTTGTCCTTGTGGTTTAGTCAGAGGTTACGTTGGTGGAAAGTGGCATTCTTTGGGGTTCTCACCCTCTCCCCCTTTTTTTCTTTTGTATCGAAGTGCCTATATAACCAGGTTTGGAAAATAAAAATTTCAGCTGTGTTAGAGACTTTTTAGTGTTGTGTCGTTTACCCGCAGTCTCGGGGTTTTTTCAACCGATAATCTAGCAGCACCTTACGCACATGTCGCATTTCCAGCACGACGTAAGGAATAGGGCGAAGCAGGCTCTGCGACAAAAGCAAAGCAAATTGTTGTGTGTATGTTTATACAGCCGGAAGTTAGTCTGCCTCAGTGGGCGTCTGGTGTCTCAGCTGTAGATGAGCAATTTAGCCAGTGCAGTACAACCGCTAGTCTGGGGTCTTTAACGCGCACCACGCAGTAGTGGTACACGACCGCACGCCGGTACGATGCTCGTCTAGATCGAAACGGGCAGGTATGGGGATTGAACCCAGGATCCTGGGTTCTGTAGCGCGAGCATTCGCTCCACGTGCTCCGAGCTGGTGTGCGCTAGCCCGCTTGGCCACCGATCCCACCAGGCTCTGCGATAGCTTCCAAACGATTTATACGCGTTCGCTGCTTCTTTGTCGGCTTTTTCAGTTTTCTTTGACCGGCGTCTATCGGCGACGTGCGTGATCGAAAGCTTCGCTGTGGTCGGCCTTCCACGAGTGACCGAATGCTATGAAGTCAGGAAAGGTTCTCACATCGAGAGAAATAAGAGTAATCTAAGAACTTCAATTTTGACGGTGTTGGTAGTGTTTCTTTAAGAGCGCGATGGTTTCAAGCTTCCACCATGCTCCTTACAAACACCATCCAACTTGTCGTTCGCAAGGTAATGACGTCACGAAAGGTAATTATAGGAGGGCGCCACTAAAACATCTCGCCGATAATTGGCGACGTGCACGATCGAAAGCTTCGCTGTGGTCGGCCTTCCACAATTGACCGAATGCTGACTATGAAGTCAGGGAAGGTTCTCACATCGAGAGAAATAAGAGTAATGTAAGAACTTCAATTTTGACGGTGTCGGCAGTGTTTCAGAGCGAGATGATTTCAAGCTTCCCCCATGCTCATAACAAACACCATCGGACTTGTTGTTCGGAAGGTAATGACGTTACGAGAGGGAACCATAGGAGGGCGCCCCTAAAACATCTCAACGCTAATACTCGTCGACACCTTTCTGTGGCATTTCCAAAGGGGAGACGAGAACACGTGTGCACAGCTTTGATCAGCGCTCAAGCGCGCGCTCCCGTACCTTGATTGCATGCAAAGCTGCAGAAAGTTGTCCCCAAGCACAGAGACACATCATATGGCCGCGCTCGGTGCAGCTCCCGGCTGTCCAGTGGCGTTTAAAGCCCACTACGTGCTAAAGGCCCTCTATCCTGGGAAAACTGGAGAACCCAAAATCTTGGGCTCAATCCCCACCCCTACCCGTTCCGATCTGGATGAGCATCGTACCGGCGTGCGGTCGTGTATCACTACTGCGTGGTGCACGTTAGAGGCCCACAGGCTAGCGGTTGTACCGCACTGGCAAAGTTGCTCATGTACAGCTTAAACAGACGCCCACTGAGGTATAGACTATCTTCCGGCTGTGTAAACATGCACACAACAATTTGAAAAGTGGCGCCATTCACTGTTGAGGAAATGCTCGAGACACGTGCCGCGCGCCACTCCTGGGAAGAACATGGCGTCTGAAATCTAGCTCCGTGCTGTGCTGTGCCGCTTTTATCTTCCCAAGGGCTGCACGTTACATATTCCTCGTGCATCGACGCACCTTGGGCTACTTTAAAACATGAAGGGGCAGTTTTGAGTAGTAACGCGTTACTGTAACTTTTTTACTTTTTCGGTAACTTGTAACTGTAACGAGTTACTTTTTAAGAATGTAACTTGTAACTGTAGTTCTATTACTTTTTCTGAAATAACGATAAAAGTAACGACGTTACTTTTGTAGTAACTTTTCAGTTCTTTGTGAATATATCATTGAACGAGTATAATCTAGCTATTCCTTGCACTTTCCAAATTGTCTGTTCCGACATTTCGTGTGTCAGTTGGCCTTGCACAAACTTGAGAATACGTTCTTTCTCGTGAGTCAGTATCCGAATATAGCCACGTGTAGATTTTATTGAAAAAAAGAAGAATGTAGTTATCTTTACGCACTTGTTTGTACCTTGTGACTGAACACTTACATCTTAGTATATTGAAGCACTATCTCTGTTGCGGTTTTTCTTTTTTCTGCGCACGCTTTTTAATCGGGTGAATCAACCGTGAAACGATAATACACGCGGAGGGAACTTCGTATGTTTCGTATTTTGATTAGCGCCACTACTCCACTCTGCGCATGTTTCGTATTTTTTTGTTTGCGCCACTACTTTGGCGTGGTTTCAACGGTGGAGGCAAAATTTACCGCTGTTTGCGCAGGGCTTGTTTCTGGTTTGCCGGGTACGAACCGAAATATATCGAAGGACTCCATGAACCCAACGCAACCGTCAACGAGCCAGCAATGTGCTAGTGCTACCAAGGATAGGGATGTTGATGAGAACAAAGAACTAGCATGGCCGGCGTTCAGAGAGTACTTTTCTGTGGTGAAGGTGGTTGCTAACTATTTGACCGCAGTATGGAACCTTTGCAACAAGGAGTACTCCGACAACAAGTCTTCGAGTTCAAATCTGAGAAAACACATCCAGCTGAATTTTGGTCTTTATTCTTTTCATAATAATGACTAAATCCAGCTAAATTCCAGCTAAATCCAGCTAAATTATTAAGTTTGAATTTACCGCTATGGTGGAAGCCCGACTGATTCGTGTCTATATTTTTTTTTCTTTCAAACACTAGTTTTTCCTTAATTTTTCTGTTATAGAAAAGTAACTGAAAAGTAACGTCGTTACTTTCTGAAAGTAACTGTAACTGTAACGAGTTACTCTTTTGTTGCGGTAACTGTAACGGTAACTTCGCAACTTTTTTCTGAAAGTAACTGTAACTGTAACGAATTACTTTCTTACGCACGACCGTGAAGGGGCTTTAACTACGTGCCAGTGCCGCTTCGGAAACATGGGTGTTATTAAGCCTTACTGGAGAGGCCTTAAGACCAAGCCCGTAGCTCTCAAGTTTGGAGCAGC